CCTTCTTTGGAGTAGCTGACCGGATGAGGCTCTTGATCTCACCCTTGAAACTATTCATGAAAGACATGAGTTCGTTTCTTGTAACGGGAGCTGAGCCCTCCACCGTCTGGGCAATTCCAGCCGGTTGCCCGGCTGGGTTGCTGGGAGCAGCTTGGCTGATTTCCCGTTCTCTTCTATCTTTAGCACGAGGGTGCTTCGTTCTGAAAGACCCATCCGGGGCCACATATGTTTCAATTTCGTCTCCACTTTCATGGTCCGTCTGGACCTCAGGCTCGACCACAGGCCGTTTGCCCTGATTCGGTGACACAGTATCAGAAGTCATCTTAGAAGTACTCTCCCCACAGACGGCGCCAAATGTTTCGGGGTTTTTTGATGTGTCCTGCGGGAGAGTTACAATTCCAAGAATGCCCTTCGACGCCTGTGCCTGCAAAATCACGAAGACTCCTGGGGGTAGGAGCTCCGCCTCCGACGATCAAGTTAGTAAAGATACGGGAGGTAGAATGCACGTAATGTTGAAGTTACTTCTCGCGTAATGGGAGAATTCCGCAATTAATATTGCTCGGGGTAGGTGTTTGTCTTTATGAGGAGTATTCAATGTAAGCAATAGATGTTCCCCCCCCCATTAATGAGGGTCCTTCCACTATTTATAGTGGGGAAGGGATGGTTTCCCTTTTAGGGTTTAGAGGACACGTGTCAGCAGAGGATTGGAGCCCTGCTGACCAACGGCTGGATGCCACGTGTTTAGGGTATTTTTACCCCAAACAACTACTATGCACCGTTTGATTTTTTAATAAGGTCAAATTTCATATAATTTGACCATATATATACAAGTACTTTTTTAATTTTGGAGAATTATGTAAGATCAAATATAATACGTACATAGTATAAAGTACGAAGTATTAAAATTATCATATTAAATTTTGTTTGAATTTTTTCTATATGATATTAATCATATAACTATCTTTTCAAGTTTTTACTAATTCCGTTCAAAATATTTTTGATGACAAGCAACATGTAAAATGGTGCAAGATTAAAAGAATGCTAAGTGGCGCAAGATAGAGAAGCTAGAAAATAGGTTTTCGAACAAGGGAAGATTGAAAAACTATTAGCTTAGCAAATTTGGAGCAGATTAAGTCAAAACAACTAACTTAATGGCAATGTGAATTTTGATTATTTTGAAATTAGGTCAACTAGAGTAATTTAAGTGGTATCAAATTAAAGTCATGTGTGCATCTACATACAAAAACTACTAAAATTATAAGGAATGTTTCTATATTTCAATAACAAGTGAAGCCAATTGATCTAGTAAGCTAAGCCACAAAGTCATTCCACCAATGTCGAATTTATCAATATATGACGTATTTTATATATATATGCAATTCATCTAATAGAGAATTAGAAGTTGGACAGTAAAAGCCCTTGCAAATTACACATGCATGTCGCGTTGTTATGAATTAAATTCTCATCTACCTTATAGAAGGGTGGTGTATAGTGTAAGGAATATGGAAATTTTGTTGTCCAATAAGAAAAAGTATTATATTGTTGTATAAGTCATTCAATAGTCACTGTGAGAAGCTAGCATACAAACATAGACCATCATCATGAAACTCCCAAAGATGATGCATAAATTAACCTAGAGGAAGTGGCACGTTGCTTCCTAAATTGCCCATCATCTGAATTGAGAGAATCAAGGACCCAACCCCAACAACTGGCATTTCTCTGCATTGATTTTTTTTAAAAAAAAAAAAAAAAAAAAAAAAAAAGAAAAAAAAAAAGGAAAGTTCATTGTTCATAGACTCTTATACTATAATTAATTAACAATACATGTATTTATTTACACAATAATACAAATGTAAAACTATTCTAGTAAGCTCTCAATTACTCCGTACTAGCTAAATCATTGACTTTTGAATGTTCAACTTTCTTCCCACAATCTTATATAGCAATAATTTTGTGATTTAAAATTATGTTTGAGAATAAATATATTTTTGTAAGATATTTTTAGAAGTCTAGAATTGGAAATGTTTTGTTCATTTAAAGAATTATGAGGGTGTTTTGGCCAGTAGGGATACCCTAAAAAAGTGGGAGCAATCTTTATATATTGAATATTTTGATATGTGTCTATGCCTCTATTGCACGCAATAATAATACAAATTCAGAAATTCTATATCAATTATTAGGTGAAGAATGCATGACATTTTTAAATAAGCAAGTTGATTATTGATTATGTTATTATAAAACAAACAAGGAAGAAAGAATAGCACATACTAATGTGATATTTTGACATTTTAAATTATAAACATGTATGTTTAATTTGGAATTAAGTTATAAAAATAAGTTCAAACACGCTACAGCCTAACAGAGTATTAATATTTGCCACCTACCAAACATGTTGTTAAGATTCCCAATGAAAATTAATAAGATCTTATATCAAACATCTATTTTTCATATATTGTGATAAAATTTTCTCGATCTTATTTTCTGAAAAATGTTAATTTTGACTTAGTTGGAAAATGATTCATTCACATTAGGTTTATTGTTAGGTATTGCCCTAATATAAAAATTTGGGTTAAGGTAGATCAGATCGAATAATCCCATCAACTTAATCAAATTTAGCCATAAAATCCTAAGGTGATCAGTTCGAGTATTATCAATTTCAAATCAAATCAATCTTAGATTCTTAGGTACATATATATGTAGGATTGCTTATAAATTTAAAACCAAATTAAAGCGGAATGATTATCGGAAATAATATGAAAATTAAAAAGAAGGTAAATACAAGAGCCCTATTTCTATTTTGCATGCATTATTTATACAAGTACATGAAGAATTTGTTAAGCCAAATCAACCAAACAAATCAAGTAGTCTCAAACATGGGGCCAAAGTAAACATGAGCATGAAGCTACTCTTGCCTCAATTATTGAGTACATACCACACAAAGCACTGACATATTTAATGCTTACTGTTTCACCTTTTTTTTTTTTTTTTTTTTTTTTTTTGAAACACTTACTGTTTCACCTTATTAATATGGAATACCAGTTTGATTAGGCAAAGTATTGATTGGGTATATATTTATTTTCTTTTTTAGATTCTAGGAGCTTAAGTGGCATCCCTCAAGGAATCAAGGTGAGCAATCACAACCCCTTATTAAGAAAATTTGGAAGATTTCATAAAAGAAAGAAATTATGAGGATAAACTTTATTGGATCCAACTCTATTATTTTGAATGTGGAAGCTGACACATTAAAAAGTGTAAAAGAATGCTCTTTCTGTGAGATTAAACATCCTATATATGAAGGAGACAATCTTTACATCATCTACACTATCAAACGACTATGGAAGATCCCTCAGAAAATAATTTACAACACAATTGTTGATGTTGAGAAAGATATTAAGAAGTTTGAGTTACACATTGTTTGAGAAGCAAATTAAACGATAGATTTCATGACTAATTATGGTCATATTCACTCTTGGTTTCTTCAATCCCATCCAAAATGGAATTATAAATATTTTTTGGATCTTCAAAATGTAACTGAAGACTATCAAAAATGGTTATATAAACCCAGAATAGCATAATCATACATAATTTCTAACCCAACAGTTTCATATTGAGGCATTGAAGTATAGAACAATAAACAAACAAACAAACAAAAATGAAGTGCTATTTTCGCCGTAATATCACCTTTCTCTTCCTCTTTTTTGCAATGATATGATCAAAATACTAGAAACCTATGTCTCAAAAGCACGAAGTTGACAAACTTGAGCGCGATTGGAGGCGTTCTCATGATTTTCCCCCATTAAGCAGAGGGAGAAGAAGGGAGACAAGAAGAAGAAAAGCAAAAAGAAAAACAGCACTGAACCCAAACCTGTGGAAAATTGTACTCATGTCCACTTTGCTGTTTTTATCTCTCTCCCACGCAACATCCCCGAATGAAACGCCAAGCCCAGGGTCACCCATCTTCACCTCACTCCCAACCAAAATGGAGTTATTCACTCCCTGAACATTGTTGCTTACATATACATTGATACTACAGCTATCAGGCAGCTCCTTCGGTTTGCTCTGACGTACATTCATCACTGCACCAACATTGCTTCCCTCCACATTAACGCGATCAAAGCTGACATGATCGCCCTCTTCTCGACTCATTATATTCTTAAGCAGTTTCAGTATGTCTTCGTTCAATTTGCCATCTACTTCCTTACAATGTTTGAAGCTCTTCATACTGTGTTTTTCTTAACTAGTTTCGTTTGGCATTTTTTTTTATACAAAATGGGAATTCTAGCTTCTCCTTAACATAAATCGGAGGCTCCACTGTCCACTTTATTGCCACTACAAGTAAGCCAACATTCCCTAAGAATGACTTGATCAACACTCAATACATAAAGACTGAAAGTTGGAAGGCTGTTTACACTCCTACAGACTATTATACTTCGTATTACTATTAGAAATTCTGTATCCACTTCTTAAAGATTGAAGCAGTTTTGCTACAATGAATTGCTACGGTAGTACATCTGGTCTCTAGTCCTTCATTGCCAATGCATTTCTAAAGGTCGAAACAGTTTCATTACGTATCTAGACTTCAAACCACCTCTACGTAGAAATCAAGACCGTGTATGATTTCAATCTCCTTAGTCCTTACAGTGTATTTCAATGAATAAATTAGAATGAAACAAGAGTTAAGGGACCATTTTCGATTGTTTTAAAATGTAATGGAATGGGGTGAAAGGATGGAAAGAAAGTCGAAGAGATCCAATTATCTTCTAGTAACCAAATCTTCACCATGTTCAAAAGGTTGAGAAGAAAATAAAGCAACTCCCTCCATCCTTCACATCCCTCAGTTTCTTCTGCTAATTAAACTCTTTGTTTGATTGGTTGAATTAAGGAAAAGAAAGAGAAGGGGAATTAAGAAGAAAATAGTGAAAGAACTTGTATTTTATTGTTGAATCTGATATTAGAAAGATGTAATTGAATAAACAAGCACGGAAGGGAAATCAGAGAAATTACACAAACAAGAGAAGAAAAGAATTTTACTAGCCACAAGACTATTATTCATTTCGTACAAAGGCTTTATTTAGGGCAAAGCTGGTTCTCTTCACTATGGTCAACTGCTCAAGTACCCATGAAGGCCGTGATGGAACCTGAACACTCCGATATAGGTATGGAACAGGACTCTTCATATTGGATCAGAAGCATGGACATCTAATGAGTTCCCAGATCTGAGTCACATACAGTAGGAGTTGCATGTACAAGCGACCACAAATCCAGTGAGTTTTTCAACCAAAAGCTACCATTTGTTATAGTGTCGAACACTCCAAAATAAAAGGTAAAGAACAAGGACAATGTAAAGCGGAGAGAACATCGGGCACAGGATATTCTGAATTAAAAGACAAAACTGTTCACCCGATATAAATCAGCCTCAGCAATTCAAACTAGCAAAGGCTTCAAAAAATACAGATGATGAGAACATTTCTCAAGATTATACAACCCTGAATGACAGAATAATCATGTTTATTATTTCTTCTTTGTTTCTTGACAGCAGGCATTTCAACCTTGATTAGACCTATAATGGCAACACTAAAGATGGTCAGCACTCAAAAATTGTACTGTCCCGTCGCCCAATATAACTAACGGAATATCACATGAGAAGAAATGTTGAAAAAGTAATGCCTGCGATACTCATCCAGCATACATGAAAATGTGAATTCATCACATACCTATTACAAAGATACCAGTAGGAACAAGAACTTCCAGCAAGATTAATGAACTTGATCAGAAATATTATTGCCAAGGCTCAGGAGTAACTTTTTCACTGATTGTAGACCCAAATTGTGGCCCACCCTTCCGGTAACATGCCAGATACTCAACAGGATATCCTCTGAGCTTGTGTGGGGCAATATCAAGATCCGCAAACGTTAAAGCTGTGAAATCATTGACCAAATTTCAATATTGTGGACCTTGTGGTCACTTAAAATAGCTGAAGAAGAATTGCTAGACCCTACACTTAAATTGAATATACTAACCCTTATCTGATACAACTGTATCTCCAGATTGGGCATGGATCTGATCCAGATTGAATATTGCTGGAGATGGTAAGGGAAATGGAACTTTGTTGATCAAGAGATCTCGAGGAGAGGAAATGGCCTGCATTACAAAAAATTTGTCACTACCACAAAAGGCACTAGACATCTTTTACTTCTTTTCTCAAAAAGAAACAACCATCTCATACAAGTAAAAACTAAGAATAAAGTAAGATGCATTAATACATAGCAAAGGATAATTCTCCTCAAAACTATCAATAGGTAGATATAGTCCATTCACTAGTACTTAAAATGGGCCAAGATTCTGAGTACTATGAATTACTGGTCTATTAGCAGCACAACAATTACTAACCTACACAGTCAACAAGGAAGCAAACATGCCATGGAGTAATTGTTTACCTTTGCAATTGGCACAGGAATTTTCACATACCGGGGCCATTCACGAATCGTTTCAAACATAAGTTCTGCCTGTAAGAGACAAGACTTCAGTTAGAATCCAAGCAGTTGAACTTATGAAGCACTACAAAGCTTCAATGTATTACCAATTCATGCACTGTATAGACATCTGGCCCTCCAAGTTCGTAAGTGTTTCCCATGCTAGAGCCATCATCTTTCAAAGATGCAACAATTGCACCGGCAACATCGATCACATAAACAGGTTGTATTCTGGAGAGCAACAAAAGAAGCAAACAAATTACAAGTAATACAAGTGCCAAAAAAAAAAAAAAATAAATAAATAAATAAAACCCTTCGCCAAATAACCCCCACTCTCTCTCTCTCTCTCTCTTAATCAAAAAGGGAAAAAGGGGGAGGAGAGAATATTGCAACAAAACAAGTTCAAGATCAATTCCAGACATACTTATTTGATCCATCCCCAATAAGGGGAAGAAAGCTATACTTCTTCACAAACTGTGCCCAGGTATTAAGAATCCGATCCTCAGTACCAATCATAGTAGCAGGCCTCAATATAGTAGCCTGCAGATTATGTAGACACATGTTAATCCTGTTATTATGCAAAATGCTCCCTACATATTGTTTGCCATTCACCAAAAAGCGAATCCATGCCAGTAATTGCAAGATGTGCAAGAACATAGAAACTAGTGAAACACATCAAAACATAATTGATGTAGAATCTAGAAACTTTGTTAGTATGACCTTTTTGCATATTTGTTACATGAAAGAGCAAATCCAGACAAGACAATCTACAGCCCAGGATAATATTAGTTTCACACGAGTACCCCAGAACTTTAAAAAAGACTCATCATCAGAATTCAAAAGATTTTGCAAAATAGATAAGCTTCATTGACAGTTAATTCTACATTCATAACCACCGACCCAAAAGGTCTTTAATATTGAGTAATACTCCGGCTAGCAAAACACACTGAAAGAGATAAAACAGACTTACTCCTGGCAGTTCTCTCAAAACAGCTTCCTCTGCTGCAGCCTTAGCTTTAAGCATCCTGGATTCTGAAGTTGGAGATGCCCCAAGGCAAGAAACTTGAATAAATCTCGTAATGCCACCATGTTCCTTAGCAATCTGCAGAACAAAATATATATTAGCACAAACAGAAGAGACTTGCTGACATAAAGTACAGTTCTCATACATGTAAACATAAAAGTCCGTCCTTGGGAGCGTAGTAAAATGTCAAAGCATAGAGCTTATGCATTTGAGTATAAGAATTAACATAAAACTTTAAGAGGGACACACTGGAATAAAATCATGAGGGAGCTCAATAATAGAGCTCCCAGCCACAGGGTTAGGACTGGAGTTTAATTGGCGTCATCCGAACACAATAATTAAAAGGGCACATTGTGTTTTATACTTTATTTCAACCTTGTGTCCAATTTACAGCCTGGGTTTCCCACTAGGTTCCTATTCCCCTCAAAGAAATTAGCAGATCCTCAAAGCCCTTTGACTTCCTAATTAAAAAAGCGGGGATGGGTGAGTACAATGGCTTTAGTAATCACTATCATATTTGTAATTTATTTTTTTGGGATATGATTTAGTAACTACTGTTATAATTCAATCAAATGTGATCATCTCTGCACGCTAAATTTAGGAAAGGGAGGCTTACGAACATATTCCACATAATTTAATTAATTCGTCAATCCTTGAGAGAATGGGTTTACTTTGCAAATGAAGGGGGTTCATTTTGTTGTTAGTCAACAAGCAGCAAACAGATCTCTTTACAAGATCTTATGGGTTCCGCTAGAGCAGAGGTGCTCCTCTTCTTTTCATTCCTGTGATGGAGTCTTAAGGTTGAAATAGGTAAAATGGATGTATATGCATTATAAAAATAAAAATCTTGACAGCTCATTTATATCCATCTATTCACTGACGATACTTAAATATGTAGCCAACTTGACTAGAACAACTTGAATCTCTTGAGATGCGGTCCCCTGATTCATTTAGTAATGCTAAACTTGGTCAATTTACAAAAGTGTAAATTCTAATAAATAATGTTCTGAACTAAAGAATTGTTAGCTATTTTCTTGGAGTAGGCTGGAGGCATTTTCATCAACTTATTTAGTCTTCCACCAGCTGCTTTTTTCAATTGCAGAATCCAATTAGGAGTCACTAAAGACTTCCCAGTTTTGTATGAAAACAAATTCTCAAGTCATGCAAGGGTAAATATATCCCTGATAATATACAGTATGCCTGTTTACTTAATGTTCATGTTTATCATCCGAATAGTGTAGCTTTGAAGCTAGAAATAAATATGATTTCTACAGGAATTTCATTGGATTAACTACTTAACTGGTACAGAGTGTGTATCCCAAGCATGCTGTTGGCCTCAGTCTTGAGATTTGTATACACTCAAGTAAGTTTGTCATAAATTTATTTTATAGTATCAAACCATAAGTACATAAATTTACAATATTCACCATCATGATCAGCTTTAAATATATATATAAGTGAAACTTGAACTTGTGAATTATTTAGTGAAGTTACAAATTAAACAGCTATGTGCAAGTGTAACAAGTTCAGAATCTGGACATTATTCGGAATAACTTTACACCAAATGGACAAGTCAGCCTAAGCCAAAGTTTAGCCAGAATTTTAATGTAAAAAATGAAGCTAATCCAGGAAATTTTGAAATTCAACTTGAAACACCTTGATTAAGATAGGCAGTTCATGTGAACAATAGACTGTACATAGTGCAGAATGCGTAAATAGATAACCAACCTGAGCAAGCTGTTCAGCCATGTGTTGATTGACCTCCTCAAAGCTGTAATTTCTTGTTTCATATTCCCTCCCTGCCAAAATTTATGTAATTAGAATACGAAAACCCAGCATTTCAAAATAGCATTTAAAAGTAAAGAAAAGAACATTACCAATAAGATTGATCACAACATTGGCCTTTGCCATCACTGCTTTGATTGAGCTTTCATCTCTTGGATCATACTTCATAGGTACAATCTGAAAGGAATAGCATGCATCAGGGGCCCACTTTAAATTGCAATTGCAACCAATACTCAAATTTCAATATAGAAACTTACCTGCCCAAGATCACCCATCAATTTGAGATGACGAGGGGAATCCTCAGAACCTCGAAAAGGAACCAAAACTTGACTCCCCATTTTAGCTGCAGTAAACTAGGATGTTGTCAGAACATGAACCGTATACTGAAAAGGGAAACAGGAGAGAGAGGATCCTTCTGGAGTTCAAAAGAAGGTAAAATAGCTAGGACAAACAACCCTTGTATAAATTACTAAATGAGATATGTGTCTGACTCTCCCAGAAAACGATGGATGCAGCTAGATAAATAATCCAGCAGATAGGAGGGAAGCAAGGAAAAAAATTATAACGGACACTTGTTAGCGACAAAGATTTGTTCAATTTGACATTGCGAACAAACCAAAAGATATGTCAGAAAATAATGAGCGAGTCTACATATCATTGACCACTTAGAGAGAGGAGTGAGTAACTTAACCGAGAGGGGATGAAAATGAGTGAGAACTTGAAATTCATTCTTCACCACCATCTTTATTTTCCTTATATGTGTGACAGACTATATAATCCCATAGTATTAAAGTTATCCCTCCACGATACACATAAAAATTTCTCAGCAGAATTCATGACCAACCGTTCCTGCAGGTGCCTCCAAGCCCTCCATGCGTTTCTACTAAAGCTTGTTCAAATCTAATCCTATGGCTTTAAATTTACCATTGATGAGTAAGTTGCCTTCTAACGTATGTCCTACCCTCTACAACATGATCTCCTGGTAAGCCAGCCAATACTCTGTATAATCCATCTAATAAGTTAGCATCCCTGCTCCTTGGGTGTTGAAATGACAGTCCACATAGAAGTTTTTGGATCTTTTTTTTCATGAGAGTATAAAGCTTTATACTCTCAAGGGTGTTAGCATCATGAGAGTATAAAAGCTGAAGTTTTTAGAACTTATTTTGTATTTCCAAGGTGATGTCAACCCTCATCACCTGTGATACCATACCCATCAAATAAAATAAGTGGCTCATGACGATATTAAATTCAATAGCCATATCACCAAAACCAATTCAAAAGTTTGACACTTTTAACCATGCCTCATCTTTAGGTCAAACATTTTCCATATTTGATTGCTCATACAAATCTAAAGCCCGTATTTGACTTGAAGCATCACAGTTCAAAAATGTATGACATAAAATTAAAAGAAACTGAAAATGATACCACTAGAACAATTCAAACCAATAGTTTGTGAAAGTTTTGTAACTTGACTCACCAAGTTGCTGTACAAGGTAACGTCCTAGAAACCCAGTTGATCCAAAAACTGTTGCAACAATGCCACTGCAAGACACCAACATGAACAATTTTACACAGATATCCTAACTTGCTTAGCTAAGCTGAATAATTAAAACTTCTTGATATATGGCAACAAATAAGAGCATACACCTTGGTAACTTCCACAGAAATGGAAAATTGAGCCGTTAAAATAAGCAGATTCAGTTTCAAGAATGTAGAAAGCAGAAAAACAAAAAACTAAAGATTTCAGTCTAGCGCCTATACGACAGCCTTGGTGATTTAATAAGCATCCATGTGACCTTTTAAAAGGTGAGATCTGTGCATTTTGCATAGCCTTTCTAATATTCTTCTCCCTTCCCTACATTAGTTTCTCGTGTTGTCATCAACTCATTTCTCTCTTTTACTAAAAGAAACTTAATGCATATTAAGTGCCCAAGGAGCTATGTAAACCAGAATCATGGCGAAGATAGAAGTATTGAGCATCTAGCTTATGGTTATTCTCATTTCTGCTCATAGAGACCTTTAAAACTATAGCAAAAGGAGGAATTACCCTGGAATACTCTCTCATAAGCCATAGAGGCCTTAAGTTTCAGTCTTCTTTCAGGAGATCCATACCGAGAGAGTGATGGACTCGTAAAACTGTAAGCAAAATATCTATCATAGATGCATAAGTCAAAAGGTTTCCTAATTGGAATATTAGTCAGAACAGCACATCGGCTCAATTACTTCAATATCTAATGAGCTTCAAGAGCAGCTCATGTCTGATAGAAACATATACAGGTAGTATAGAAAAACTGGATTCCAAAACTTCAATTATACCCTAATGGATCTCCTAGTGTTAAAACTTCTTTCTTACGCTTTCTCAAAACCCCTTTCATTTAGGCCCTGTTTGGTTAGATGTAAAACACTTTCAATGAAAAAACGGTTTTCATGGAATACATATTTTCAAGAAAAACCACAATTGCAAATTAGTTTTCCTTTGTCCGGTTTCATCAAAAAAAGTTATAAACAAATTAAAATAAGGGGTGGAAATGGGGATGAAAGGAAAGTAAAAGGAGGTAAGGAGGAGGGAAGGAAAATGTGACTTCCCTTGTTTTAAAAAGGATAATGTTTTCCACCCCTTCACAAACCAAACAAAGGAAAATGAGAAAAAAAATGGGAAAATTATTTTCCATGAAAACATTTTACATCAAACCAAAAAGAGCCTTAAATAGAAGAATAAGCTTGAAGTTTAATGATTAATGAACAAGAAACTGAAATTTGATAAATTCCATCTAGCAAGTATAAAGCACTTGTGCAGAATCTGAACATTCATGCAAGGCAAGTCTACAAACCCAAACATCTCACAATGTCATAAAGCTTAATTACAAAAAGCTACGCTCCACAGCTCCATAACTCCCACTCAGCAACAGTACTAAGTTCATCTAGTTGACACCAAGCAGCTGAAGATAAGTTACTAATGGCCAAATGCTTAATATTGGTTCAGCAAAAAGGCATTAAAAACACTAAAAGTTACTCTGCATTAATAGCCAACACCTCATTGAGCTCAAAATTTACCACCCATCTTTAAAGTTACAACAAGACTTTCTAGTTCACTTTCTCTAAAACATCATGTCCAGAAACATTCACCTCCAAATCTCTGATAGCACTCCAAAGCTCAGCTTAAAGATGTTCTTCTAGAGTGACCAAACAACTAAACTCTTGGAAAGAGTAATACAAAAATCTACCACCTTTTACTCACTGTCTCACCTTGCCTTTTAACAATTATCAACTACATTAAGTTACTAACGATACGAAACTTCAGAACAGTCATCTTTCCAGTTTTACACTATAATCAATCATAAATTAGTAATCGCCTTTTCTTCTTATAAGACCCCGAGAGCAAAAGCAGGTTAGTGGCAAACTAGCAATTCTTTTCCAATGAAATAACAACAGAATCCAGCAATGTTTGAGCATAAAGAACACAAACACACAACCGAAAAAAAAGGCCACAACAGATCACTTTCTATTAATTCACCACCTCCGAACCCGATTAAACTCTCGACTCAAACAGGTTCTTCCTCAAGGCATTAATTTCTATAAGTTCAGAATACAAAATGAAATGCTTACAAATTATAAATTAGGGAAGCTACATTTTCAACAGATGAATTCATACAAATAGCACCTTCAATTACTTGATAAATTCAATAAATTAAAGTTGAAGATGATATAAATTTACCTAACAGATGATCTTCCACCAGTTCCCTTTCTAACTAGGGGCCCACCACCTTTAGTGGCGACAGTAGATCCATACCTCGATTGATCAGCACCATAACCTAAATCCCAAACAATCATCAATCATCATTTCAAAAACAAACAACGCGAAATTGAAAAAAAACCCTAGAAATGTCAAAACTTTGCAATACCCAGAAATATTGGAAATTAGAAAATGTAAGAGGAGAGAGAAAGAGAGATTACGAGGATCAGAAAGAGGGTAAAGAGACTTGAGAGATGAAATTGAAGGAGAAGTCTTGAAAGATTGGTGGGACAATCGCCTGGAAATCGACTGCATTTTGTCTCCGATGAAAGGAGAGAGAAAGAGGAAGATGAAGAGGGTTAGCAGCTGATGCAATTCACTGGGCGCAGTGCGGAGCAATAGAGGTGGAGAGAGAGAAAGGGAGTCGTTGCTCGTTTGAGTGGATTATTGAGGGTGGGGGATCCGATCATGGGAACGAACTCGAGCCCATAATGAGTTTGTTTCCGAGGTGGCAAATGTATTGTTTGGATCGGATTAGGTTAGTTGGGACTTTTGGTGTATGTGCGAGGTTGAATCGAGATAAGGTGGATTTATGAGAATTAGGGGTTGAACTCTTAAATACAAGATTTAGAGAATCACAAAAGACAATGATGTAGACGAGATTTGATGACACGTATTGGGTACTACTACATCAAAATTTTAACCAATTAAGATACTTGGTATGCTTGGGTTAAGTATGATATGGTCATATGGGTGGGGTGAATGTGTAGGGTAATCAAAACATTCAAAATCTACAACATGTTTAGATGAATTGGAATTGTTAAGTTGGGTACAAGTTGCATTAGGTTCAAACTTGGCAAAAGTTGACTTTACTTAAATTGGTATGAACCTGATCATTAAAAAATTGGGAGAAACTAACTTGAAACTTTGAAAGCCATTGAAAATTTCATAAGAATACAATTTAAATCCGAAAATTTGAGATTATTGAGCTAAAACTCGATTGTTCCTCTACATATAGCTTGAAAACAAACACAACTTGTAAATCAACTTTAAGCCAATCCAAACAATTACTGAAACAATAGATGCAAATTCTGTAAAAACAATTCAACCCAAATTGACTATTTTATAAGATTAATTGTGGCACATCCAATATGATATATATGTCATTAATGTTAATGTGAACATTGTAATATTGATGTACCAAGTGTTTAATCTTGGCTTTTTGGGTTTTTTTTTTTTTTTTTTTTTTTTGACAACCAATTTCAAATTGTTAGAAAGTAATTGTTCAAGGTTTTTAAATTTCATCCAATTTAAAAATTAACACTGTTCTATGTACTTGTTCAACCTCCTTAACTTGGTGCTTTGTATTAAGGTTAATACTGTTCTATGTAATTTTGTAGTTATATAGAAAGTTAAAAATGAAACTAATTAACATATACCATATGAAGTATTAATATAATGCTGACTATATTTCAACGCTTTCTTAAGTTCAACACTGGCTTCATATACAACTATCTATTAGGGAAGATGAGCCTCTTGACAGGTTTTAGGTCATTTAGCCTAACTATTACGGTCTTTCAGGATGAACCTCCAATCCTCAATACCTCACTATGGTTCATTCTACTCGTGTATTATCAACTACTCAAGCTTCATTCTAGTTATCTCATTTCTCTTACGTGAACATATTAGAGCTATATGTTATAGGCCCCTATAAGAGCTGATTATTTTCAGTTGTAGATTGAACTTGATAGCCTATATTAAAAGCTTAAACTTGTAATCTAAGCTCCAATAAGTACGAATGAATTCCAATAGGTTTAATTTTGAGACAAGATTGGTTGAATTCCAATAAGTTTAGATAAGCATTAGACCTTTAGGCCCTGTTTTTTTGGACTGAATAAATCTGGATTGAATTGAATGAAAATTGTATAGATAATTTGGACTAAGCTGGACTAAACTAAAAAAACCAAGTCTGAAGAACAGGGCTTAGTCACTCTTCGAAAAAGCTTTTCTGCAGGAGTCCAGGTGCTTGGCCAGAATATTTGTAATCCAACAAGCTAAAACTGCAAAACCAGCAAGAAGATGAAATACCATAGTGCAAAATGATTTATCATTAAAAAGAACTGACTTTACAAATCATGAGGTTGTATTATTTTACAGGAAGTGGGAGCGTGGGATCAGCAATAATAGTCTGTTTGAGGCTCTACATATTTATAGACAAAAAGGATCAGAGCAGCTGCTTCTTCATCAGCATGCATGGGTTACGATTTCTTGTAATCCGAATCGTTTATTCTTCTCTGGTTTCAGATAGTTATTATCTCTGAATCCTGTTCAACCCCATCTTCCATCAACTCTTAATTGGGCAGGAAATCCCAAGTCACGCCCTTGTAAACACATAGGGCAATCTTGTTCTTCAAAACTGGAGGATATCTTAGCCCAGAAATGGGATTGAGAATTATGGAGTTCTGACCTCCTTTCTCACTTGTCCATTGGCCGAGGGGCTGCAGCTCGGTAGGCACAGAAACAATCAGTTTCTTTCAAGGTTGGCCTGAAACAGAACAGGTTCCATCTTGGCCTGAAATCGGCTTCTACTAATGAAAATTATATACTGCTTGACCTTGATGTATATTCTCCTACCAACATAGAAAACACAGATGACTTGTTTTCCATCAACCGTGCAGGACTGTCAAACTCAGCCACTCGACCTGCAATGATTTACAACAGTAGATGAATTTTGAGTGGACATGCAAACGTTCCAATTGCGAGTAATTATTGTACCATCACAATTAATGAAAATATATAATCATGAAAATTCTCTAGAAACTTCTCAAATTCACAATATTATCAGCCAGTATGTGTTAAAAATTTTGCTGATGCACAAAAATAGAATATTGTCTTTTATTCTTCTCTGAAAGTAAACTTTTAAGAACAATTTCTCAATGTACACTTCATGCTCCTGAAGTCCTGACGTCAGGAGAGTGTATAAGGCCAAACAAAACCTATACTATAAATTTAAGCAGCACCACAAAATGAGTGGTTACACCCCTACACTCACTCAACTAAACATCGATCACCCTGACACTCCAGCTGTTTAGCCCTATCATTCCACAATATTATCCTAAGAATATGAAAGGTATTCTGAATTTATGACGATTATGATTTACGAACATGCAAGCAGATGTAAGAAAAATAACTGTAGAAAAGCCTTTGTTCGGTAAGGGGGAGGATTGTATGTGGAACTTATTCGTTAGGATTGGAAAAAAGATTATAATGCACGCAATTACAAAGTATCCCCGATTCGCATTTTTGAGAGACAAAAGAATGGGTCAACAAAAGGGCCAAAAAAAAAAGATCTGAAACGAATAGTAATTGTACACGAAAGATTTCAGACTCACCATCACTGAGGACCAACACAAAATCACTGTCCATGACTGTTGGTATTCTATGCGCTATGGTCACAACTGTGCAATCCTTGAACTCAGCTCTTATCAAACTCTGGATAAGATTGTCTGTCGCTGTATCAACAGAAGCAGTGGCTTCATCAAGAACAAGTATCCTTGCTTGCTTAAGCAAAGCACGGCCCAAAGAAACAAGTTGTCGTTGTCCCACACTCCAATTTTCTCCATTTTCAAGCACTACATGTATAGCAAAACCAAATGTGGTTTTAAAAAAGGCCAACAATAATAATATAAAATAGAGAAGTACAGATCATAGGCACTCTCATGTATGTGACGACAGACCTGGCGAATCAAGCTTTTCGCCTCTTAGACGAATAAGGGCTCCAAGCTGCGATTTATCAAGTGCCTGCACCAAAATAAGATGCAAGTAATTAGTACAGCACACAAGTATAAACAAAACCAGGAAGTTTCAGATTGCTACTCTCAAATCTACATAATAATATAAAGCAACCAGGGAAGATGCTAACTATGGTCCTAGAAATGAAATTGAACTGGAAGCTGGGAAGAAAAAAAAAAAAAAAAATCTATCTATATAAAAGAGGAGCTATTCAAGAGCACCACATGAGAGTGCCATGCATAGGGAGAGGGGGGAGGGGGGGGGGTGACTTCAGACAATTACCTCCCAAATTTCCTGATCAGAGTGTTCTTCAAGAGGATCAAGATTGCCCCTGATGGTACCTTCAAATAAGGAAGGGTCTTGTGGAATGATACTCAAACGGCTTCGGAGATCATGAAGCCCAATCGTGCTGATATCAATGTTGTCAATGATGATCTTTCCAGCAACAGGTTCAACCATTCGGAAAAGTGACTGAATTAATGTTGACTTTCCACTTCCAGTACGCCCAACAATGCCAATCCTCTTCCCACCAGGAAATGTGCAAGTCAAATCGTGAAGAACAGAAGGAAGGTTCTCTTTATATCGCACCTGTCAGAAGAAGAGTCAACAGAAAGGACTCATATAACTTATTATTATTGACCACCTTCACACAAATATAATGTGTAATAGTGATAAGGAAGCAACTTTAGAGTGGTATTCTGTAAGCAAGTAAAGATAAACAACTGCAAACCTTCAGATCTATCAGTTCAATAGTCCCAATTTCTGGCCATGCAGCTGGAGGTCGACAGCTCTCAATAACTGGTGGTGCTTCACTTGGGATTTCAGAATACTGATTAATCCTTTCTATGGAAATGATTTTGTTTTCAAGTTTGCAGAAGCTAAGTATCCATCGTGATAGACGTGCGTTCAAATTTAAGCCATAGGTCACAGCAAGGCCCGCCATACCTATCAGAAAAAAGGAAACAAATTAGCATTGTAGATATTATGTCATCTCACTAAGGAGGCAAGAAGCCCGAGTCTAGAGCCATAGTCAATCAGCCAGGGACCAAATGGTGATTCTCCACCTTTACAAGTCATAATAGGCACTATAGAAGTAGGCGTTATTCTAATTCTATATTTATTCTTATAAACATTGCTTAGTTAATAATTTAGCTAGCTTCTGTTCCTAAAGTTAATCTCGGTTTATAAAATGTGCCCTAACTTATCCTCCAGAATCAAATTCTAAGTCGAACAAAAAGCCTAATGAAGATGCATTAGTATTCTCCACTGCTATAACAACTTGCAGATAAAATTTCATCGAATAGGTGTTCTAAACCTATATTACATCCAAATTCCAAACTACAAAGAATTCTTGAAATTTCCAAACAACTACTTAGTTGTACGTACTTGGATCAATGGTTCCCCTTGGGAAGCTCACGAGCAGAACCATGCAGAAAGCAAAGACAAATGTGGAAAGCAACTCCATACGCAGGCAAAGCCATTCAATGGCAGAAATGCTGCAGAAAAATGGCCTGGAAAAACAATCAAGAAGATAAAGATTCTTCTTCATAAAGCGTTTTTCCTGCCCAAATCCTCTTATAGTGGCAGCTCCAGCAATTGACTCGCCAAAAAGATGGATAACTGGAGATTTTTGGATGCTTACAATGCGAACCAATTCCCGTGATGAAGCCATGTAGTATTTCTGCAGTTAGATATAGTATAAGAGCATATACTCCAAAAATTGTACCACATAAGAATTCAGCATATGGTAAATGACTGCTTCAAATAAGAATATTAATCACAATATACATAAAGTTAGTCTCAGAATCAAATAAAACATAAATTTTAAGTGTGATAATCGGGATCAAAATGTATTAGTGTCACTCTATCTTGGGATCTGTTACAATACATGTTAGACTCTCCAAATAAGTGTCTTAGACTAGTTAATTTACAAAGTGTCCTTAAGTCCACTCCTTCACCTCCAGTCACCCCACACAATGACACTAATATCCCCCAACATAGACAGGATGAGAGAGTCTCATAATCATGGAGATTCCAGACAGCTTGAAAATTCAAGTTCTTAGGCCAAATTTAGACACAATGCATTACCTGCAACCACAAGCAAATAATAGCCATTGGAACAACAAGAAGCAACACTTGCCAGGTAACTTTCATCATTACACCAACTATGCCAAGAAGTTGTATCGTTGTTGAAGCAAATCCACCGAGCCTGAAAGGAATATCCAGATCTACAACACTTTGATCAACGGAAACCTGACAGGTCATAAAAAAGCTTGTGAGACTAAATGCAACAAAAAGGAAGCAAGATTAAGATAAAAAGTACAAAAGGAAACATCCAAAGTTAAAATGTAAGGAAATGAGAGAGAGAGAGAGGGGGGGGGGGGCCTCAGGCACTGGTAGAGAGCTTACACGATTAAGTATCCGTCCAGCTGGAGTAGAGTCGAAAAATGACATAGGTGCTCGAAAAATACACCTAAGCATCTTTATGAACAACTTCTGAGCAGCTTCCAGCCCAAAGGTTGCCACTAAAAGAGCCCTCACAAATACAAACCAAGAGCTTCCAAATGCAAGCGCCATGTAAACAACAAGAAGAGTTACATTACTCGTCTTAGGAGTATCCCCTACTGTTTGTGGGTTTGCCCAGGCCATCCACCAACTGCTGGCTATTTGCAAAACTTGAAATAGAGTTTGTGCAAGGATGATGAGTGGAATTAACAATCCTTTATAGGCTGCCGCCATATATGACAAATACACCTTCATACTGACTTTACCTCTTTCCCTCTCCTCATCTTGAACAAGCTGTTTTTTCCTTGCTCGCTTTGCTTTCTTTTTCTCTTTAATTGCTTTTAGGTCAGGAGAAGACATGCTTGCCTGTACTTCCTTTACTAAACTACCTTTACAACTACTAGTTTCATGATCGATGTCACCAAAGTCATTCTGTGGGCTAGAACCCTCATCCGAATCTTCAGATGAGTGATGACCTAAGTCCATTGCTTCAATAGCCTCATTGTGAGCAAATACCAGGGAGTTAAAATCCGTGCCAGCTTGCAAAAGATCATCATATTTCCCTGCCTGTACTATGCGTCCTTCTCTAAGTACCTACAACGATTGAGGAATGCATCATGATAACATAAACCACAAAAAATCTTTTTCCTATTCATATATACATTCTAAAACACAAAATAAATGCAAAATACTAGATTATGAAGGTGAATCAAGAGCCCAACTTGCAAAGAAAAATATGGAAAGAATAGGCATATAATAATTAGGCAAGCCCACAAACTAGTAATAAGAACAATATTGGGAATGCAATGTTAAACGAAAAGGTATCTTTGCCGCTCAACAATAAAGTTTCCTTAAAATCTAAAACACATGGATGTATTCAGAACTTCAGCTATATAGATTCTTGGCAAAGGAACAGTATCATCAGTCCAAATTAGCTAGCCTTTAATAAGTTAAAGTTTTATGCTAGTTGTCAATGACCTAAGGCAACTCTCCCCTAAAAAGTAATGAGGTCAACACAAGTCCCATCTATGTACCCCCGCAGTGTCAAATTACACGCCCCATTTGTTTTTGTTTTTTTTGTCTCCAAGACACAAATTGAACATTAATATCATGAATTGTGTTTAAATTAAATTGATTAAAAAAAAAAAGTTGATACGCTGAAAATACACATTTAAGGTGCCTAAGACCCCACTTGATTATGTTTTTACTTGTATAATACTTCCTCCTATCTTTGATAATTGCAACATGTTTAGTTTCACACTTTCCAAAGCACATCTTACACCATTGACAACTCTAATTATAAAGTGAAAATTATAAAAGTTGATATAACGAAAGTATATATCGAGACAAATCAAGAACGATCCCACAAAGTTATACTTTTCCTAACATATAAATCATAAATGACGGATTCAAAGACGTGTGTGAATAGTGTAAAATTTCAATGTTGCGAGTAAAAAAGAACAGAGAAAGTAGCAGGAAAAAATTGGTCAATATTGATGAACTTTGACGTTCAATAGGCAAATGGAGCAACTAATTTGAAATAGAGGTTAGAATTTTTCACTTGATGTATAACAATAAACATTTTTAAGACAAAGTATTGCAAATTATTGTTGCAAGTTGAATGTCTAGTTGACTCCCAGACTAAATGACCTTTCAAGGGAAAAATACCTCTAATTCATAACAATGAGATTTCATGCAGAGAGGAACTTATATCTCAAATAAAACAAAGGAACAGAAGCCTATAACGAATAGTAATATCTTCCAAATATTTCAAAGAGCTCAAAACTATTAAGTGACTACTCCCTCTGTCCCTTAATTAGATGCCTACTTCTCTTTATTATGTGAGTAATAAATGCTAGAAATAGGTATCTAATAAAGGGACGGAGGGAGTACTTTACTATACTGCTAGACCTGAAAAGGTAGCAGTTTTGCATATGCAAATTGCAAAGACAATATTAGAACCACAACGAAGGCAGCTGTAAAAAAATATAGACATAAACCAATATGAATGTCATACCAATATCAGGTCAACAGAGGGCAAAAAATCAACTTGATGTGTCACAAAAATCACAGTCTTTGAAGCCAGAGCTGTCAGTATAAATTCCTGCAATGGAATTTTTTTGTCAGAAAATCTCATTTAATAGAAGTTCAAAGCAAAATTACTCCAAAGTATCTACAACCTTGTACAAAAAAGATGCAGTCTGAGCATCTACAGCGCTAAAGGGATCGTCAAGCAAATAGATATCAGCATCCTGATATAGGGCCCTGGCAAGCTGCACCCTCTGCTTCTGGCCACCACTTAGGTTGATACCTCTGTCTCCAATGATGGTTTGATCTCCATGTGAAAGATTTTCTAGATCCTTCTTCAATGCACAGGAATTAATAACACTCTTATACTTTGGTTTATCCATTGGGCTTCCAAAAAGGATATTATCTTCTATAGTTCCAGATTGAATCCATGCTGATTGAGATACATAAGCTGCAGAACCACATACTCTGACCTGGGTAACAATCATGTAAGCACAGTTAGAGAAGAGTCATTACTACTCATATATAAGAACTTCATTAACTAACTACTCTAAGGAATTTTTAGTTTTTTAATCAAAATCAAATACTGGACTCACTTCACCAGAGAGTCTGGGTATCTCTCCAAGGATGCAAGACAGAAAACTTGATTTTCCAGCTCCAACAATTCCACAAACAGCCACAAGCATCCCTTTTTCAACCTTCATTTCAATCCCTGACAAAGTGGTTCTCATAGAAGAAGGATCCCAGCAGAATTTTCCATCCTTAATTTCAATGGCAGTATCAGAAGATCCCCTTGGTAGTATCGTGGTCGCATCTCCTTGGATTTCTTCGTCCAGAAGAAATTTAGAAAGACGATCAAGAGAAACTTTTGTCTGGGCCATCATTGACACAAGATCTGGGAAATTTCTCAGCGGCTCTTGGAGAATCCTAAAAGTGGCAAGAGCAGAAAGAACACTTCCTGCAGTCAGCTCACCACCCAACAAAATGCAAGTAGCAAAAGTAACTACAGCCACAAATATGGGAGAGCCCCAAAACATGAATGTGATAAAGGCTTGAGAATAAAGTGCTTTTCTTAGCCACTTGAACTCAACATTTCTCATCTCCTCAAGTATATGTTCGTACTTGTCCTCCCAAGCATGCAACTTCAAAATCCTCATGTTCTTCAAACACTCTGAGGTCGCCCTCATTCTATCATCCTTGGCAGACATTAGCTTGTCTTGATATTCTTCTTGCACTCGCGCTATAGGTACCGTAACAACAATGGATACAATTGTGGCTACCAATGTAGCCAAAGAAGCTATTCCTACATTCTTGTAGAGAATTGCCAAAGCAAGGATAATTTGCATTGGTAGCATCCATATGTCATGAAGATACCAGGAGTAATCCCCCACTCTCTGGACATCAACTGCCATGTAATTCACAATCTCTCCACTAGTATGACTTTGCCGGGCCGAGTTTGACAACTTAAGCCCTTTTCTGTACACCATAGCAGTCAGAGCTGACCTCACATGCATACCTAAAATGTCAACTCCAATGTACCATTGACGAGTAGAAAAAGTCTCTACCAACTTAGCTGAAAAGAATATCCCAGCAAGAATATAACCCTCATGGGGAAAGGTCTCTATCCCTCCCAAGTAATCAACAAAATAGCTAATCATGTACGGACCAACGTACGAAACCAGCGTTGTCAATCCAGCAAATACAGCATTGCAAGCTGCCTCCCTCCAAAACGACTTAAGGATCGCCCAAGCCAATGAAGGCTGCTTCCCTCCAAAACAACTTTCAGACTTCAATTTCTCCCAATTCGAGTTCAAAATTTTGTAATTCGCCTTAGAACGGTCTTTAGGTGCTAGAAGAGGAATGTCTTTCAAATCAAGAGGCCTCTTGGCACCAAGGGAAAGAAGTGAATTCAACCATGAAATAGTTGCTAAGCTAAAAATCCCAGCCCCACTATAAGAAGTAACCCTTAAACACCCTGCTTCTTCTTCGAGCAACGGCTCTTGAAGATCAGAGTTCCCAACAATCTGTATCCCACTACAACCCCTAATTGCTAAAAAGCAAAGGAACCCAAGTGCAGGAGTTGCAACAAAATTCCCCACAACATGGGCAGACAAACGATTCGACCCCTCTTTGACCAAACCTCGGCCATCAAAGTACAAATTACACACACAAACAACAAATGATGCAAACCACCAAACCCTAAGCAACATAGGAAAACTCTCAGAAGGCCTAAATTTACAATGAAGTGTCAAAAGGCACATCACTAACCAAGCTAAAACCTGAGTTGCAGGCCAACATATATCCACCCAACTGCCTACATTTCCATGAGATGCCTCCCTAATAACTTCTACCCCATCAAATCCTAACAAAACTACTTGTACTAGCAACACATAGAAGCAACTCAACACAGTCAATTTATACCCAATACCCACTACAATTTCACTCAATTCATAGTCTAACCCACCTCGAACCGGGGTCAAATTCGAGTTCGAATCATTCTTAATCAACCTGATACTGCCAATACAAGTATTGAATTGCCTTGCAGACACCATTAACAGAAAAACAAGCAAAAAGGCCAAATTTATGCAGATTGACAGCAGTTCTAGTATAGGAATACCCAGAACATCTCTAGGCAAACTCTCATTTGCCATTAATAACATTGCTAATTGGGGATTCAACAATGAATATGATTGAACAACTGGGTTTTATTATTATTATTATTATTATTATTATTATTATTATTATTATGATTATACTAATACCCAGAACTGGAAACTTTGATCAATCAATATTGAAGTCGGTGAAAAAGGAGAGAGACTGAGAAATAAGAAATTATTCAAAATTTAAGGGCATTTCGCCATCTGGGTATTGAGCTCAAAAAGGAAGACAGCTCATAGAAGAACAGAACAACACGGACCACATGAAAACAAACGGATTGTCTACCATACCCAGAAATGTGAAGAGAGAGAAAATAATAATAACCCCACCAAATTTCAAAAACCCAGAAATTTGTACTTAACTTGGATTGAAAATCAGAAAATATCATCAAAATTAACCCAAAAATATGATCTGGGTATATCTTCAATCAATTGTTCACTGAGACTCGAAACAAGTTTAATTTGTGTCACTCTGCAAAATTGCTACTCTGTAAAAAAGTTTCTGGCACAAAAAAGCGACAAAAGAAGAAGAAAAAGAGATCTCTTTCAAATTTTCTTCTCTTACTTTGAAGTGGGTCTGGGTTTTTTTGCAGTCCCACCTAATTTTGTTGTTGTTTTTATGTGAAAATCGTTGGTTTCACCGCCGTTGCTGCCGTGTGATGATCGAACTTTGCATTTGTATTGTGCACAAGGTATTTTTCGGGTGTTTTCTCAGTGTTAGCATGTGCTTTTCTTTTGTCTAGTTTTGTTGTACTTTTATAGAGGTTTACCCCCACTTCAATTAGCTTAATGTCAATCCAATAATGTCCAAAATTTTGATTTTTAAATGCTAGGGTGAACGATCCCATTAGATTTTACGATCTTTCTCGCATGTTAGTTAGTCCAACTTTATAGTTTAGGCTCTTCGTTTGATAATGTTTTGTTTCTTAATGTTTTAAACATTTACTATTTGCAAACGAATTATGGAAAAAAGGATAGAGGGTTCAAAAAAAAAAGGAGTGTATATAAAAAAATGTAAGTATTGTGAGGTAAGACAAATAATGTAGTATAATAAATTTGCCAAAAGTAAGAGAAAGTAAACATGTTATTGAAATGCACATAAAAAAAAATAAAAAAAAAAATAAAAAGTGTTCAACGATAATAGGTACCATTCGTTTGATAATGTTTTGTTTCATAATGTTTTAAACATTTACTATTTGCACACGAATTACGGAAAAAGGGAGAGGGGGTTAAAAATAAAAGACGAGTATATGTAAGAAAATATAAGTATTGTGAGGTAAAACAAATAATGTAGTATAATAAATTTGCCAAAAATGAGAGAAAGTAAACATGTTATGTATTCCCTTCGTCCCATTATTTCGTGCCTGTATTTCTTTTTGAGTGTCCTAAAATGTTGTACCTATTTCTAAATATAGCACGTAATCATTATTTATTTTTTATCTTTCCCATACAAAATACACATATACACAAAAAATCATTACTTACTTTTTTCTTTTTTTCATACAATATTCTCTATTTTTTATTATTCTCATACTATATTCTCTATTTTATATCTTTTCAATAGAATATTTCCCTACTTTTACCATCTCTTTAATTACCGTATTATTTGAAAAATAGGCTTAAAATTATGGGACGGAGGGAGTACATATTATTAAAATGCACGAAAAAAAGTGCTTAATGGTAATAGGTACAATTCTTATTTCTTACGTCAAATACTTTGACCTTGTAACTTAATTTACAACTTTATTTTTTTTTATTACAATTTTATGGTACATTGCACTTTCTTATAGTCTGTATTCCTTTAAATTTTATGTAGGACTATCCCATATGTAGAGACACTAGAGAACAATGTATTATATTATCATTTTTATTACAAGGCATATTTTACTAAGGTCTCAACTTGAATGAAGGCAATAGACTTGAAAGATAAAGGTACCTAAACTACATGTCTGAAATAAGATTATACTGTTCAATCAAAGTTTAAACTCCCGTAGGGTAAAAATTAATCAGTCATTATCATTGTTTTTCTCTCATCGCTTTTACTACTCACTTCCCCGGACCCCACCCATTCAACCGCCACCATTGCTCTTTTCTCACCACCATTACGTCACCGTGGCTTACTATATATTTGCCACCAACATTGCAATGGTCATATTTGACCATCAAAATTCCATATATAGAGCTTTAATAAAACCACAACATTTCTTGCTTTGGTGGTTTGTATGTCTCTTTCAATCTATTTTTTCTCTCAAATCTTCTCTTTCTTTTTCATTGGTGGTTGACATGGTTGTGGTTGATTTTACTTAATGATGATTATTGAGGGTAGTGAGGAAAATAATTTCATTGTAATCAAAATAATTATATTAGATAAATGTATGGTCATCATCTTTATGTTTGTAGCAGATTAATTATTAATAGACCCCCTTGTTGAAAATAATCTATTAAACACAGTGATTATGTAAATAGGACAAACAATAATGTTTAATATGCAACAATTATAAATTTTTTTTTTGAAGGAATGCAACAATCGTAACTTTGTTTAAAAGAAGTTTTTATTTGATTCAGTTTTATTTTATGTATTTATTAACGTTTATTCTCTTATAAATTTTACTCCGTATATTTGAAATATTTTATACATGAACATCAACTTTTCGGACGGTATAAAATTGTTGCCATCCTCCTAAGTTTCCAATCCATAGGAGTGTTATTGTGCTAAGCTATATGTGCGTGGTAAAGACCTCCATAAAGATCCCATATTACGGTTACTTTTTAGGTCTTTCGCCATTTAGTCCCTTTAGAATTTAAAGCATTAATTGTTTTCATTATTATTGGACGTCTATGATTCTTAAATTCTCATACACAATTATGAATATCTTTCTATTGCTTTCTGACCATGAATAAGTTAATTCGAAAGCTACACTATGGTCGTGTAATGGGCTCATATCTTTTTCAAAAGTAAAGGCATAAAGCTAGCTAGGCGTCACTTTTGCGTCTTAAAAAGCAAGATCTCGATCATATAAACCCCATTAGCAATTAAGGACAAGCAAAACTATCCGAAAAATAAAAAACCTGATTCGTAACCAATCTAAAAATTAAGGATTCGTTTGGCATCGTTGTGCTATTCTGTTTTTTGGTTTTTTTTTTTTTTTCAAAATCATATGATATATGTCATATATTAATTTAATAAATCAAAAATTAGTCAAACTTATTAATATTATGATAATTTTGAAAACTGACTACAGAAAATTGAAAACACCTTTTTCTTGTTTTCTATTTTTGATTTTTTATTTTAAAAAAAACAAAACTGAAAACAAAAAACGATGTCAAGCAAGCCCTAAGGTACCCGATCCGATGACTATAACGATTCGGATACCCGTTTCGATAATTTGTTATCGGGTATGATTATCGGGTACCCAATAAGATACCCAATAAGATATCTGTTATCGAGTACCCTTATTAGCAATAGCTAATATGGTGATTTTTTATGAGGAGAATTTCAATCCCTCTACATACATGTGTGGAATAATGGTAGAGGCCTAAGATTTGAGGAGGTGACAACTTTATAATTTACGTTATACAAAATATTGAGTGACACCGTTTCACCATAAGTCTACCTATCCAAAACTGTTATAATGCTCAATATCTTAATAAAATTTTCAAAAACTTATATAAGTATCTAAATTTTAAAGTTGAGATTTTCAATCCCTCTATATACTTGTGGGATAGTAGGGGCCTAAGGTCGGTTGAGGAATTGGCGACAATTTTGTAATTTATATCAAGGCGAATTTGGAGGAACAATATATTTCTATCAAGAATAATTGTTTTGACTACGGAACATATTATTTGGAGAATATTTGCCATAAGGAAAAAAAATAACATGTGAATTGTTTTATTGTTTTAAGTAAAGAAATAATGACTAATAACGTTTAACTTACAAATCTAGTTAGCTAGTATATATTTTTTTGAATAGTAGTTAGCTAGTATTTTAGTCTACTCAATGTAATTTTTTTTTAGGGTAGCATACTAGCATTACACATTCACACCAATAAAGGACAATTACTTCTTTTATTCTTTTTCGTTGTTCCATTTTCTTTTTATGGTGTCTCAACTTGCACTACTCCTATTTCGAGTTACTGTGATAATTTAAATTTTACGGCCATTCACACTTTGACCATAATATTTTACTAGCATATAGCCATAAACATACAAATAAGTCAATAAAAAAAAAATATAATTAACCTCAATGTATTTTTTTTTAAAATATATCAACTTTTCAAAAAAAAAATTAATACTACTATTCGTGGTCAAAGTTGTGCTTTGACAAAAATAAAACTTTTGCATTTACCCTATAACGGCAAATGAGTTGTAAACTTTTCTCTCTTTATTATTTTTTTCCCCTTGAATGGTTTGTTATCCGCATTTATTAATGCATAACTTCATCAATAGTTAATATCTTTAATTATATATTTGTGAAAATTATAAAAATTAAATTCTGATAAAGTAAATATTAAGAAAATCCGACAATATCTTATATGAACATGTTTTTTTAAGTATAAATCATAAATTGTAAATAAAGTGGAGTACTAATGAATATTGTACCCCATATAAAAAATATTGTAAGTATTTTTTTAAAATACGGAAGAAGTAGAAGAAATCATAAAGTGAAATAGTGAATATATAAAAGTTGTTCCATGATGTGGAGTATTGCATATGATAATGTTTGTTTACTCCCAAACATTTCTTTTAAAGACAAGAAAAAAAGACACAAACTTTTCACATTCCTTGAATATTGGCCTTCAACCCTTCACTATATTCTAAAATTTGACCATAAAAAGGAGAGTATATAATCTAAAAAGCCCTTCACTATGCTATGATTTTTTAACATTGTTTTACATTGGTTGATTAATCAGAATCGCAGAATCTTTTTATTTTTTTACATTACTTTCATGATATCAAAATTTATCAGTTAAACGTGTTGATATTGTTAGAAAATAAAAAGAAATGTGGGCAGTAAACAAAAATTAACAGAGAATAAGTCAGATTGGCTGAGAACCATTGATTGGTGATTAGGATCTTGTACTTTCTGAAAAACGAAATAATAATCTAACTTTTAATTTAGGGAACAAATTGTATGATATGCAAAATTATTGGATGCTTTATGATATGAAATTCATGATTATGTTATAATACTCCACATGGCTCCAATCAATTATTGTATAATTAAAAAGTTTATAGTATTAGATATTACGAATATTTTTTACAAATTAATCAATCTTTTAAGATGCAATTAAAAATTAGATTATTAAGTGTATCTGATTCTCGTGTTTGGGGTCATTATCTTTGAAAATGGAACCAAATTACCCCTTACATATTTATTTATCTTCCTCAAAGATGCTATTACTTGAGTATTGATGAATGTGCGAATAGTGTGATGCCTATGCATTGTATTGTAACCAAGCAAAGTTTGGTCTAGTGGTAAGGTTTGCATCTCCCAACCTTGAGGTTGTAAGATCATGCAAACTACCCTACCCCCCACTCCCAAAGTGTCTAGCCCGCTAACCTGGGTCGCGAGAATCCGTGAGAGGTTTCGATACGGTAGGATTCTTCTCCTTACTAACTAACCCAAAAAAAATGGACATTGTATTATATTGAATGATTAATGTGTTTCTCAATTAAAATAGTACTGTCGCAGCTCGAACATTTATCCAATAAATGAAGTAAAACAAGATTTATACCACCTATGCGATTGGAATTATGCCTTAATAATGAAGAACAAAATTAAATCAATAAAAGCATTGTTAAGAATGAGTTATCAATTCCCTGGGTCACTTCATGGC